ATATTAGGCAAGGCACTGAATTACCATTCCTGTCATGCTTTACAATCCAAGTTAGTCCAGTAACTGGTGGTGAGTAGTGAAGTTAGTAGATAAGTTTTGGGGCATCAGTCAGAAAAGCAGCTGTTTCCTGAGATTAGTAACTTTCAAATGACATTCCCTGGAACTCTGGGCGTGACTAGGGAGCCTATCAAAGTTCCTCAGTAAGACACCCATGACTGTTACACTTTGGTGAAAGAGAGGCCGCCCAGCCCCCTACTGGTCTTCCCCCTGCAACGTACAATGGAGGGCCAGGCCTGGCCTGAAAACATGCCCCAGAATTATTTGCAACGCACCACGATTCCATAGCAAATGGTTTCAAGGCAAACGTTTGAAAGCTCCTAGCTTATATCAAGGGCAGAGTTCAGCCCAACCTAAGGGAGACCAGCAAACCTACAAGTATCATTTGTTATTATGAACACCACAGAAAACCAAGTGGCTATGGGACTGAGAAAATTTAGATCCCTTAGGTATGTCTCTAGTTAATAAACAGCTATTTTTCTCCAAGCAGGCAACGTGTGTGTTAGATGGTTCAAGCAAGTAAACAGAATGTAACAACATTTTACCTGGATGGTTTTATCTTCAGTTACAAATGAGAGAGATTGTCATATCACTAGTAGATGGAAGGAATAAGGATTTGTAAAATGTAACACTCCTGAGAAGTTAACTGCCTAAATGGATTACTATACTTAGTAACTTATTTGGAAATACTTGAATCAGAATAAAAAATACCGTGTAACATATGACAGAATGGCAAATGTTCTAATTGTTTGCAACACACATAACAGGAAGGTCCTGTGATCCAAGTGAAAGCACTGATGTTCTCAGTGGGTTTCATTTCAACAACGGCTTCCATCTCTACAGAACAAAGGCCGGGCTGGTAGAAGCCAAAGCCATACTTCACACACCCTTCAGGGAGATGCACCCCAGGCCAGCACAGAGGCATTTGTTCTGACTGCCTTGAGCCTCAAGGGAAAAGTGGTCTATGAATGCTTTTAATCAATCAAGAGACTTTAACAATTTAGTAACAGCCACCCAGGACAGCAGAGGAACCTCCAGGGAAAAGAAAGGAAACTCCGCTTGCTTTCCTCCTAGATTTCAGCCCGACTTACCTTTCTTCTTGGACGATGATATCATTGAAGGCATGAGAGAGTCGCTTCAGCTGGCGAATGCCAGTGGAGATCAGTTCTAAATCACAGTCAAACTGCCTGGAAGAGAAAGACAAGGAAGCAGGGTGGGATGAACCTAAGAGCAGCGATTCTGGATCAGATCGGTGGTTCATCTAGTCCAGGATCCTGCCTTCTTCTACATTAATTCCTCACAACAATGCTGTGAGATAGGCCAGACTGAGAACATGACTAGCAGAAGGTTTGAGTGGGTCTGTCCAGACTGATCCTCACCACACTGGCCTGGAGTCAGCCATTCACCCCAAAGGGCTTTTGGTTGTCAGGCTTGAGAGACCCAATAGTTTCTATCAGAATGTCACTTCCAGGACAGTCGAACCAAGAACATTATTAGTAGACGACCTGATGAACACCTCCCTTCAGTAGCTGATCCAGTTGCACTGAACCTCAGATACGGAGTTTTTACTGACTGACACACTGTAAACCTTCCGTGGAGGATATTTTTCATTATGTCATGGTCTGCCCATTGTACTGGGAACCGAGATGTAAATTCTTCACTGCAATAACAGATCAATTGCAGAATTTTTCTGACTGATAAATTAATATTTCTGCTCTCAGACCCTACAGTTTCCTATAGGGTAGCACTCTTCACCTTAGCGGCTAGTACAATCAGGGCCAAGAGCATAGTAAAATGAAATTAAACTGTAAAACGGCAATGTTTGCGGCTGCGTATATGTTTCTGGAGATGGGTATCTATATTTAAGACATTAATTAATTTAAATACTGAATGAGCAGATTTTTAAGAGGTTGTTATAATTTCAATCTAATTCAAATTCCAGTGCTGTAAATTGTCTAATTTGTACATTTTTTAAAATTGTAATGGCTAATGGCTACACAGTAAATTTCACTATCTATCTATCTACTGACTGACACAGGGTCTCCAACAGTAAATTCCCAGCCTTGCTATCTAGAATCCTTTTGGTTGGAGATGAAAGGGATTGAATCCAAGATCTTCCATTTGCAAAGCTGACAGAGCTGCCTTATACTGAATATACCAAGGACAATATTGTTTACTTTGACTGGCAGGCACAGCTCGCCAGGGTCTCAGGTATCCACATCACCTACCACCTTTTAGCTGGAGATGCCAGGCATTGAACCCGGGGGGCTTTCTGTAAGCCAAGCAGATGCTGAACCATTAAGCGCCTGGCTCTCCCTGGGAGCCACTGGGCAATATTTTATTTATTTATTTTATACCCCACCGTCCCTGCCGAAGCAGGCTCAGGGCGGCTTACAAGGCCGACTGGCATCAAAAACGTTAAAACAATTAAAAAACCAGGTTAAAATCTTAAAACAATAACAAAGTGATATATATATATATGATGGCAACTGTCCTGGATGGTAACAATAGAATCATAATACATATACAGAATCATAATACGTATACAGCTGGTGACTGGCTCCTTGGCGTACTAGAGCAGGCAGCCAAGAGTAGATTACAGGGCAAAACTACCCAGTTGGTATTGGGCATTTCATGTGGCTTCTTACTCAAATGCTTGGCGGAAGAGCTCTGTCTTGCAGGCCCTGCGGAATTGTAATAAAATGCTTGCGCTCCCATCAGCCCCACAACATGGGAGCCATATCCCATCTCAGGTGTCCTACCTTCCGACTGCTTTCTGCAAGACGCACAAGAGTTTCCTCCTCCCCAACGCCTTTCTTTTAATCCCTTGTGGGCCAACAAGCTCTAGAGACACCCGACTTGCCTTTTGAGGCCAGCGCAGACAGGAGAGCCATATGGACTTCTCAAGGCTGCAGTCCTCCTGGATCTCCGGAGAGGGAGGACATCTTCTTTAAGCCGACGGGAGCCAGGTTGACAGGAAGACCTCTGGTCAGATTTGGGCACCATCTTGGTACTGGATGTCGGGGTAGATACGGCAGCTAGCCTGTTGCTTTTGCGCCGAGGAGTGCCAGGAGAGCTGCGCCGGGTTTTGGTGGGACCCCCGTCACCGGTCCTGGAGACTTTAGCCAAAGCAGTCACCAGAGTCTGTGTGGAGCCCTGGCAGCTCTTGTGGATTTTCTGTAATGTAGGAACAGTCAATACTGAAGGGCGACTGCACTTAACGTTTTATATAGTTCTTCCAATGTTCAACGCATACTTGCTGAAATCATTGCCACAGCCCTGGAAGGCAGATCTGTATCATTATTCCATATTGCAAAGGGGGGGGGGGGGTGCTTTGAGGCTGAGAGGGAATGGCTTGCCTAAAGGCCATTTACTGAGTTTGTGATGGAGAGATTTGAACCAGGGACCTTCGCAGATCTGTCTCTTAGCCACTACACTGTATTAGATCTATTAGCTATTTAGGGCCTTGCCCCATTAACCCGCAAGCATATAAAATTCCTTTATACCAGATTAGACCTTTGGTCTATCGCAGCCTGTGTTGTTTACTCTGACTGGAAGAAGCTCTCCAGGGTCTTAGGTTGGATATTTTGCACATAATCTACTACCTGATCATTCTTACTGCAGATGTTGGGGTTGGACCTGGGACCTTCTGCAAGCCTAGAAGATTCTTTACCTCTGAACTACAGTTCCTCCCCTCAAATAAATGTTTTTTGGCCATCAAGTCACAGCCAGCTTATGATGATCCCGTAGTGTTTTCAAGGCAAGAGACCTTCTGGGGTGGTTTGCCACTGCCTGCCTCTGCATAGCGACCCTGGACTTCCTTGGGGGTTTCCCATCCAAGTACTAACCAGGGTCAACCCTGCTTAGCTTCCAAGACTGGGCTACCCAGGTCAGGATCCTCCAATATTAACCCAACTTGTGCTCAAATGGGGTTTTTCTCTTTATACTCCTGTCAGACAGAGACTTGACAGAGGTTTGGAAAATTAGGTCTACTGCAACTCTGCAGAAGTGAGCCAACTTACTGTGTACTGCCAGAGCAGCGGTACTCACTTCACGGCTTGGAGAGAGCCAAATTTATAATTACCATCAATCAAAGGGGTCACATTTACTTCACCTGAGGCCTACACCATCACCCTATTTTGTGCCTCTCTTCTCCCCATATTGGCCCCATATCTCAAATTGGCATTGGGCTTGCATCTAGAGAGCAGGATTTGGATTCCAAATCAACTGTGGGCAGTTCTTGAGAGAACTGGGCTCTCTTTGTTTCAGTTCTCCATCAACAAACCAGAAATAATTAGTAACCTACTGAGGGGGGGTGGGGGCGGGCAGGGATAGGGGATTCTGGATCACTTTTAGCAAAATATACTCACTTCAATGGGGCTTTTGAAGGAGGACTTCCTGGAAAACCGCACCCTTTGTGCGTCAGAAGGACCAGACAGATAAACCCACAATAACATAGTTATAAAATAATCATGAGGAAAGTTAGCGATGCAGAATATACAACAAATTCATTCAACTCATCCCAAGTGTCAAACCCAGCATTCAATGCCCACTTTCTCCACACATCAACACGGTACCTGAGACACTGTCCCAAAGGCATTTTTGGCTGTTCTTGTGAGTGCTCGGAAGTTTTGACTCTTCTCCTTGGCTTCCAAGCTCTCCCATGTCGGGTTCTCATCAAAGTTCATCTCAACCGGCTTTAAGGGCATTCTCTTCCGCAGGGACATCCGAACGGCATTCAGGTTGCGAGAGGACCGCTTCCTAAACCTGTCAGGTGTTGGACTTTCTTCAAAGTCAGCCAGTATTTTGTGGCTCCTCCAACCAACAGTTGACCCCATACTTTGAAACACAGATGCCATCTCTTCTGCGTTCTGGATTCTCCTAACAACTTAAAGGAAAGCCTAGAAAATAAGCGCATTTAAGTTACTGTTCCACACTTTCATCACAGTCATTTGCATCTTAGTCCCATCATCCTAACCCAAGTCACACGCACAAAAATTATAGCTGTATGAACAAACAACTAAGACATACATACTACACAATTTCTTAGATCGCTATTTGGTGTTCCTAGAAGCACTTCTAATGTAACACTAAGGCAAGAGGATGGGCTACTCAGAGTCGAAGCAAAGGTCTGGGAGCAGGCTATAACACTCTAGCTAAAAATTCATTACAACCCGAAGGGTTTAATACCTCACCTCTTAGCCTCGGACCCTTACCCTGCCTGGTCCACACAAATTCTTAATAAGTTAAATCAGATTGGCCTATTCCCAGAAGATCTCTTCTATGGAAGCCTATACAAGGCAAGAACAGCTGTCACGCAGAGGCTCTGTGATATTGAATCACAAAATGAAGAAGCTTTGCTACCCAAGAACTTCAGAAATATAAAATCTTGGCCTGATTTTACTGTTGCCCCTTATTTAGTTAACATTACCATTACACCTAAGACATACCTAGTACACAAAAGCTCAGAAATGTATAAAAAGAGACTGTTGGCATTAAAACAAAGTTAAAAGAGATGTTTTTTTAAAATGTCGATAACCCCAAATGCAGATTCACAACAAATGCAAGTACAAATAGCCTCAGAACACGGCACACAGGAGTAGGGGGGAAGAAATGGAGAGAGTTGTGTTATGTTTCATCACGGCATCACTGGCCCTATCCAATAGGTGTCAGTGAAACGTCCAAAACCAAATTTCATACGCCACTCATTAACACCATGGAAACATCAGCTTGAAGAACTCTGTCTATGGAAGTGAATCATTTAAGCTGCTTTGGGCCCCCACTGAGGAGGAAAGGAAAGGGTCTGTATGAAGCAAATAAATCTCTGTTATGAACCTGTCCACTCACTGAGACTGTTCATCAGAAAAAACCCCTCTGGGTCCTTCTACTTTACAGTGAAGCGGACCATGAGCAGGAACAGGGCCTTCCACATCACCCTTGGAACTCCCTCTCCCACAACATGTCTGCTTTCTACTTGTACTGTAGGCATTTAACAGAAAACAAACAATCACTGTGAATACTGGCTACTGTTTTTTTTATAATGAATAAACATTACATAAGATCCGTATATATTGAATAAATGACAAGGATATCACAACAAACTATGTGACTCTGTTAACATAAATTTAGGGAAGTTCAAGCCTTGGGATACTGCAGAACAGTTTCTGTAGTACTGTAAGAATAACTTCTGAGGAAGACCTACAAAACAGGCTTTCATCTGGATGCTTGTCTACAGCAGGGGTGTTAAACATGCGGCCCGGGGGCCGGATCAGGCCCCTGGAGGACTTCTGGAGGGCTTCTATCAGGCCCACAGTCTCCTGTTCCCTTCCTTGCACTAGTTGCTTGCGGTCCGCATAAGAGCCCTGGATGGGCCAGTTCTAGCCCTCGGGCCCTATATTTGACACCCCTGGTTTACAATATTACAGAAGTTGTTCTGCAGTGTTACAAGGCTCGGACTTCCCTACATTTGTGTTACAGGATCACATCGTCTGTTGTGAGATCCTTGTCATTCATTCAATATGTAAGGATCTTACGTAATATTACTTTATTCATTATAAAACATAGTAGCCACTATTTTCAGTGATTGATTATTTCTGGTCTTTTACACTGTGATCCCCGTTTATTCGTCTGTTGGCATTTAAAGCATCTTACAAAGGCCACTTGACTTCTTGGCTTTGTGGGCTGTGCTTTCTCAGGCTTTCCTGCTTCCACTCATCTACGGCTCTTTCTTTTGTTCTGTGCATCTAGCAGAACTGATTGTGTTGTCACCGACTGCTTCGTGAGCCTCTTTGCTTTTTAAACTATAGCGTGATATAAATATTTTAATTGACAGTCTGGGCATTAGGTATAGGAATATAGATCAGCATGTGCAGAACACTGACAGACCCATTCGCTCTGCACGCCGAAGGTCCAGAATTCAAATTATGCTTAACTGTAGCTGTTGGGAAAAGAAGATTCTGGAGAGCCTCTGGCAGGCAGAGTAAAAAGGACTTGGGTAGATGAAGCAAGGGCCTGACCCCAGCATCAGGCAGCTTCGCGTGCTCCTATTATCTGCACTTACATATTTGTCTTATATCCATATCACTTCTGTTGAACACCCGTCATGGATCTCTGACTTGAAGCTGCCAAAATAACTCAATAGGAAGAAAGCAATTATTTGCTCAGTGCCACCAAACTGATTTCAAAGTAAACGCTAACACAGTGTCTAAGCCTGCTGAGAATTGCTTAGCCAGGCGTGGCCAAAAAAAGGTCCCTTATTTGACCAAGGATTTCCTGAACTCTACAAGAAAGTGTCTGCAAAAGGAGGTTTGCATTAGAGGCAAGGGTCTCTTGCATTGTCCCATATGAGATATGCTCTATAGAAATCAGCCAATGATTTCTCTCTTAATGCTACTGTTTTACCAAATTGGATTTTATTTGAAGTTTGAGCATAGTCTTGAGAACTTGAGTCAAATGTGCTGCGTGTGTAAAGTGCCATAAAGTCGCAGCTGACTTATGGGTGACTCCAGCTAGGGTCTTTCAAGGCAAGTGACCAGAAGAGGCGATTGCCTTCCTCTGCAGAGTCTTCCTGGGTGGCCTCCCTTCCAAGTACTGACCCTTCTTAGCTTCTAAGATCATGCTATACCGTACAGCAGGGGTGTCAAACATGCAGCCCGGGGGCTGGATCACGCCCCTGGAGTGGAACTGGCTGTCTTCTGCTTCTTCTTCCAGTTCTGCCACTGCTGCATCATTGTAGGTTTGCAGCTTACAGATACACCCCTGAACAGAATACTCAAGATTGCAACAGCACGGTCATTTTGATGCAATAATTCAGAGCAAGAGGTGTCAGTTATCAGACACTGTTAAATAAACAAAATATTGCAAGAGTGCTAATGTTTGAAGCATGTTTTTATTTTAAGTAAAAAAAAAAACCCTTTGTGTTTGTGTCCTTTATAAAGTTTATCTCTCCGCTACCTGGCATTACATGACACACATGGCCCGGCCCAACAAGGTCTCACTTGTGTCAGATCCGGCCCTTATAACAAATGAGTTCGACACCCCTGCCATACAGCCTTTCCTCCCCAAATGTGCCATATGCTCATGTATCCCTTAAATAAAATGTTATTTCTTTGCTCATTCTATTATGGAATTTAGAGATTGATTTCACCCCGCCCTGTCGTTAAATAAATAAGAAGCAGGCACACACACAAAGCTGCCTTCCACTGAATTGGACCGTGGGTCTATCAGTCTCGGTCCTGTCCCCTCGGACTGGCCGCAGCTCTCCAGAGTCTCAAGCAGAGGTCTTTCTCATCACCTCCCATCCTGTTCCTTTCCACTGTAAATACCAGGAACAGAACCCGGGAACTTTTACGTGCGAAACTACTGCTCTTCCACCAAGCCATGACCCCGCTCCCAGCCCTGTGTGTTGTGGCAGCAAAAACAAAGGACATTTTTATTGTAATTCGATGGGCTTGGGCTTTCTTACATGAAGTTGCCTTATACTGAATCAGACTCTTGGTCCATTGAAGTCAGCATTGTCTATTCAAACTGCTAGCCCCTCTCCAGGATGGGCCTCAAGCTGAGGTCTTTCACATCACCTGATCGTTTCAACTGGAGATGCAGGGGATTGAACCTGGGACCTTCTGCCAGCCAGGCAGATGCTCTGTCACGGAGCCATAGCCCCTCCGACTGAAGCATACGTGCCAACAGACTTGTGAGTTTCTAAAAAATGCCACAAGACTCTTCTTTTGCTTATATTCTGTGTGTGCAAGTTCTCTTCAACCCTCAAGAATTTATACCTTGCCATTCTACTCTCTAGCATGGGGGGGGGGTGTTAAAATCAGTTTCGATACTGAAAAACATCAGTTCAGTCATCTAAAAGACAATAAAATGCTAAAACGTATCAATGTAATTAAGGCACAATTCATTAAACATGTTCCAAGGGCCAGTAAATGGGACCAAAATCATAAACGAAAGCCAAAAGTCGATGGACAAGGCCAGGCCGTACCTCCATTCGCCCTTAAGCATAATGTGAAAACTGCACCTTGATTTCTGATCCAGTTCCTTTTTTCATATCCAGCACTGCAATCCTATGTATTCTAGCCTGAGGACCTCAAACAAGTATACCATGAGCTACAAGGTAGTTCAAGAATCTGCCAGAAGACCCCCCCCCCCAAAGATTAACACAAGATCTGCTCTAAGCTTTTGAAGAAAAGTCCATCCGTGGCTATTAGCCACAAGGTATAGATAGGAACTCTCAGGCTGGGGCAAGGGATACTCTGTATTCTTGGTGCTTGGGGGGGGGGGGAGCAACAGTGGGAGGGCTTCTAGTGTCCTGGCCCCACTGCTGGACTTCCTGATGGCACCTGGTATTTTTGACCACTGTGTGACAGAGTGTTGGACTGGATGGGACATTGGCCTGATCCAACACGGGCTTCTCTTATGTTCTTATTTCACATGATTTGTCTCTGTGCCAAGTAGCTGACAGCTGAATTTCTGGTGCTCTTCCTAGTCCATGTTCTGGTTCAAGGACAGAACAAAACTAACATGGGGGGGAGGGAGTAGCTTGAGATATTTTTAATTATTCAGAAGTAGCTCTCATTAAAGAAAAGGTGAGCAATCCCTGCTCAAGGCAAAACCCATTGGGTTCAGATGGGAATAACTCACTATAGGACTGAACTATCGATCTCCCTTCTCTCGCTCCCTGACTCCTCTCTTCCCATATCTTTCCTGATAATTCAGAGATGTGTTAAGATTTCCTGTTTTTTAAAGCAGAAATCCTCCTACAAAAGTTTGAAGTTGGGGGGGGGGAGTACATTCCTAAAACGGGAAACCAAACACTAACAAAGTTATTGCAATGTAAGCTTTATATACTATGAAATACCACCTTACTTTC